AAATATTTTTCTACGCCACTGCCTCTCCTTCCCCTAATTTCTTTTTTATTATCATGTTTAAATGCATAATCACCGAAGGAGGTGTGCGTTTCTTCAGTCAATGACATCAACCAAAACAGGTCTAAATTTTTATATGTTAAAAGAAATGTGTAATAGGCCCTATTTTATTATCTGCATTAAAAGATTAGTTTGCACAGAAATGTAGAATGGCGTCCATTCGGAAAAAAATCATAATAATTTATTGTATCTCAGTTTACCGAATTCCGTTAAGAGTTTTGATACCGGTATTTTAACTTAAAAGATTATAGTTTTTTTTACTTCACTAAACCTGACTAAACACATCAATTTATCATTGTAGTATTTTATTCTATTTCTATTTTAAACAAGCATCACGTGCAAAATTCAATGTCCTCTTTGCTACCTTTTAATTAGCCTATTATTCTGATATAGTAGAAAACATTTGTTGTTGCATGTTTGTACGGTAAACTGTTTTATAGGCCCATCTTTATACAGGAATGAATTTTTTTGCAAAAAGTTTTAGTAGGATGTCTTTTATTTCAATCGTATATTATTTACAAATCATATAGATATTTCAATACATAAATTATTATACTATGGTATCAATAAATAACTAAATATTACCAATGAAAGAAATATGCTTCGTGTGCGTTAAATATAAATATATATTCAGTGTAAGTCTTTAAAAATGTTAATATAGATTTAAATTATGATAAACAGATATTTTAAGGCAGAAGGTTGTCTATGCTCTCTTCTTTCATAAGTGCCTTCTCCAATTCAACCAATTTCTTTACGCCATCCACTACCATCTGCATTTGCTGTACTTCGGATGTGCCTAAACGATCGTTGTTTGAAATGTCAAAGGTACCATCTGTCGATGCGGTGTCGACGCCGCCAGTGCCCCGCTTCTGAAGACGCAGTTTGTCAAGAATATCGCCGAATCTCGCATGTTTACTAAGCAGTGGAAGTTTAACGTGCACGCCGGCTCTCATCCCGGTCCCAAGATTTGATGGGCAGGTCAAGACGTAACCTAGATGTTCATTCCACATGAATGTGTAACCCTTCTTCCTAATTGCTTTTTCCACTTGGTTTAAACCGTTACAGAACCTGGTGAACACCTTCTTCATGTTTCCTCCTTTCTCCATAGATATGACTCTTGAATGATCCTCTTCATTTATCCACACAAGGAAATTCTTTTCCGTGTTATGCCAAATTCCACGTGCTTGTGGCCAATCACGTGCCATGTTTGCTGATGTCAGAAGTGGAGAGACCGGTTTATCAAATAAGAAATGATCATCAATAAGCTGCTGCTGTTCGGCTTCTGACATCCCAGAAAGAGGATAATATTTTCCCTTAAGTGGCTTTGAAAGTCCAGAAAGAGCATTCGTGAGTATCTTTTCAACGGCAGCTCTTTCAGACCGTGAACAGTGAGGTGGCAGACCAAATCCTCTAATGCTACGACCAGTTCGCACACGACAGGACAAAACAAATTCTGGGTCCAGGTCGTCACCTCCAACCAGGTGATCGGGATTGAGGTCAGTGCTGTGCTTAGCGTCCCTCTGGTAGCCTCCGTGACGTAGGTTTATTACTGGCTCGAACAAATCTGCGAAAAGGTCATAACACTCTTCATCACCAGCAACTAGACCGACTGTCATAATGAATGGATGCCCAGGGTTGTCTACACCAGTCTGCATACAGTCGTCTAAGGTGAAACCTGACTTTGTCTTTAGAGTTGAAAGCTTATCATACATTTCTTTCGTTAGAACCTTTGCCATGTAATTGTTGTGCTTTGAAAGATCTGGATAGTTGTCGCTCATCAATGTTACAGGGGGTTTAGGTTTCATACTTTCTGGAAGCAAGTCGTCTATAGGATTGCCTCCTTCCAAGAGCTTCTCCATTTTTATTAGTAGCTCAACTCCATCTATTAACATTTGAACTTGCGCAACTTCGGATGAACCTAATCTGTCGGAGTTTGATATATCAAATGTCCCGTCAGTAGAGGCAGTGTCAACTCCTCCAGTTCCTCTCTTTTGCAGGTGCATAACTTTTAGTATCTTATCGAAACGCTCATCCTGGCATAGAAGTGGAACTTTTAGGTGTACACCAGCACGGAGTCCAGTACCAAGGTTAGAAGGGCAAGTAAGTACAAATCCGAGATGTTCATTCCACATAAATGAATGACCAGCGTTTTTAATGTTATCTTCCACCTGATTTAGACCCTCGCAAAACCGTTTAAACACGCGCTTCATGTTGCCACTCCTTTCCATAGAGATCATTCGCGAGTGATCTTCTTCGTTGATCCATACCAAGAAGTTCTTGTCCTCATTGTGCCATATTCCACGTGCTTGTGGCCAGTCACGATCCATTTTTGCTGCTGTCAGCAAGGGAGAAACGGGTTTATCGAAAAGAAAATGATCGTCAATCAATTTCTGCTGTGTCTCCTCAGACATCCCCTCAAGCGGATAGTAAGAACCTTTATAATCACCATCTAGCTTGGCAAGAGCATCAGTCAGGATGGTTTCAACCGATTTACGCTCATCACAGGTGCAGTGAGTTGGCAGTGAGTATCCACGAATACTACGTCCAGTACGAACCCGACATGACAGAACGTACTTCTCATCAAATTGATCACCTCCTTGCAGATTATCAGGATTTAAGTCGGTGATGTGCTTTGCATCTTTGCTATAGCCGCTGTGACGTGCGGCAATAACAGGGTCGAAGAGATCGGCGAACAACTCGTAAGATTCTTCATCTCCGGCAACCATACCAACAGTCATGATGTGAGGATGGCCAGGATTCTGGACACCAGTCTCGATACAGTCAGCAACAGTGTAGCCTGTGGCTGTACGTTTGTCTTTCAGTTTCATCCAAATATCTGGTGACAAACAATGTGCCATGTGGTTGTTATGTTTAGATAGGTCTGGGTATCCTTTTAGGGCTGTGGCATCGTACCCAGGCATCAGTGCATCAATCGACTCTCCTTTTTCGAGTGCCTTCTCCATTGCCACCAGAGTCTTGACACCGTCGATGACAGCTTGAACCTGTTGCACCTCTGATGAACCAAGGCGATCAGCATTAGAAATATCGAATGTACCATCAGTGGATGCCGTATCAACACCACCAGTTCCTCTCTTCTGCAACTTCATTTTGTCTAATATGTCATTAAATGCACTGTTCGTACTTAGTTTTGGCAGCTTTACATGAACTCCAGCTCGAACGCCTGTGCCAAGATTAGATGGACATGTAAGGATGTAACCAAGATGTTCATTCCAGCTGAATTCATAGCCTTTCTTTTTCATTGCTGTCTCGACCTGATTCAGACCATTGCAGAAACGTGTAAAGACAGAGCGCATGTTCCCGCCAGTTTCCATTGAAATCACACGTGTATGGTCTTCTTCGTTGACCCAGACCAAAAAATTCTTGTTTTCATTGTGCCAGATACCCCTTGCATCTGGCCAATCTCGTGCCATGTGAGCTGATGTCAAAAGTGGAGAGACCGGTTTGTCGAAGAGAAAATGGTCATCAATGAGCTGTTGTTGCTCCTGATCTGTCATGCCTGTTAATGGGTAGTATTTGCCCTTGAGTGGGCCATCAAGCGTAGCTAAAGCTCCAACCACAATTTTCTCAACATCGCGTCGCTCAGCTCTACTACAGTGTGGAGGTAGGCAGTATCCTCGAATAGATCTACCTGTTCGGACACGGCATGAAAGGACGTATGCTGGATCGAGATCATCGCCTCCATTGAGATGGTCTGGGTTGAGGTCGGTGCAATGAATTGCATCACTCTGATAACCGTTGTGACGGCGACTAATTACAGGGTCGAAGAGATCTTTGAATGTTTCGTAGCATTCCTCATCTCCTGCAACTAAACCTACGGTATAGATGAAAGGATGACCGGGGTTGTCAACACCAGTTTGCATGCATCCATCCAATGTAAATCCTGATGACGTCTTTACGTTGGCAAGTTTATCAAAAATCTCTGGTGTAAGGCATTTTCCTAGATGGTTATTGTGATTGCTTAGGTCCGGGTAGTTGGAAAACGTGCTATTTGTAAAATAAAAAATATATAGTATATAAGTACAAAATATATTTTATCCCGGGATTCTTAAAAAGAACTTCGAATAGGACTACGAATAAATCGCGCACACCTGCACTAAATTGAGTTCAGCTTCCAAACGGCTACGTCGTTGCGCAAATCGAAAGCTCTCTAATAAGAACAAAGATGGCGCCGCCATCGTATAACAGTTCTTCAGACAAAGCGAATTTTCAATGACTGTTTTTCATCGTTATAATTATGTTACTGTCAGTATATTATTATTATAGAAAATTCAATGATGTCTAATTATGAATTGCTACTCTTTCATTTAGTTCTTGTCATTGGTTAGTTTGGTAGCCGCTGCTTGCCAGTTGTCTTCAACTACACTATAACCAGGACTTGATTTATTCGTAGTTAAAACTAGACTAGCGCAGTTGTAGTTCAGAGTTTGGCAATACAGTAGTTCGTTGTAAGAATGCGAGCGTTAGTTTTTGTTTTGATAATTTCATTTACATTGAACGATCCGGATGCAACATAAGTTGTATTCATTATAGGGAGTGAAGCTTGTTGATTATGCTCTCCACTTCTTAATGCAGAATGCAATTTAACGCTTTATGAAATTTTTTTTCATCACAATGAAATCAATTATTACATTTAAATATGATATAAAATTCTTAAACTAATTAATAATTAAAGTGGTCTAAATGTCTTTCCGATACCCTATATTCTTAGTGATTTGTTTTGATAATTTCATTTGCATTCAACGATCCGGATGCAACATAAGTTTTATTCATTATAGGGAGTGAAGCTTGTTGATTATGCTCTCCACTTCTTAATGCAGAATGCAGTTTAACGCTTTATGAAATATTTTTTTCATCACAATGAAATCAATTTTTACATTTAAATGTGATATAACATTTTTAAACTAATCAATAAATAAAGTGGTCTAAATGTCTTTCCGATACCCTATATTCTTAGTGATTTGTTTTGATAATTTCATTTGCATTGAACGATCCGGATGCAACATAAGTTTTATTCATTATAGGGAGTGAAGCTTGTTGATTATGCTCTCCACTTCTTAATGCAGAATGCAGTTTAACGCTTTATGAAATATTTTTTTCATCACAATGAAATCAATTATTACATTTAAATGTGATATAACATTTTTAAACTAATCAATAAATAAAGTGGTCTAAATGTCTTTCCGATACCCTATATTCTTAGTGATTTGTTTTGATAATTTCATTTGCATTGAACGATCCGGATGTAACATAAGTTTTATTCATTATAGGGAGTGAAGCTTGTTGATTATGCTCTCCACTTCTTAATGCAGAATGCAGTTTAACGCTTTATGAAATATTTTTTTCATCACAATGAAATCAATTATTACATTTAAATATGATATAACATTCTTAAACTAATAAATAAATAAAGTGGTCTAAATGTCTTTCCGATACCCTATATTCATAGTGATTACATTTAACATGTTTCGCCTACCAATCGCATGACACGGGACAGAGATCCTTGGGGGATTCGATCTGCTTCTTAGCCTTCCTCTCTGTCGGCTCAACCTTTGCTATTTTCTTTTCTTCAGGCTTATCTTTCACAGGTGAGGTGGTGGTACTACACACAGGGGCGCTTTTTGCCGACTCTTTAGCAGTAGCCGTGCTGCAAATTTCGAAATATTAATTCTTGATTTATAACTGTGCAATAATTATTGGATATTTGTTTTAATGTGGTTAGCCTATTACTTAGTAATCACTAAAAAGGGCAGCGGAAAGATGTGTATTGCTTGTTTTTTAAAATATAATAATAATAATAATAATAATAATAATAATAATAATAATAATAATAATAATAATAATAATATTAATTAGTATAGCCCATATTGCGCAGTACCTATACATCAAAAATAAAACAAAAAGCATGATGACTTCATAATATAATAAGGTGCGGTGGCAAACAGCGCTTAGTTCTCAAAGGGTCAACCATCCGCCTGGCGCAATTCCGGTCCCCTACCTAAGTGGCGCGAACAAAGAAGCAGGTTTTACATTTGCCCTGCCACAGACTCATTGTAAGCACCATGATATAGAATCGATACAGTGTCATTAGTCTACTAGACTTTAACAAATTTACATTGAAAGCGTACAACATAAGAGCTTATTATTTAATCGCAAACATTAGTTTTTAAAATACTACAAGTATTTTTTTGTATGCACTAGGTACAACAACATAATAGACTTGAGCACCATTTGTGGAGATATGCGCTTTATAAATCTTTATTATTATTATAGAGAGCAATGTTTGAAAATTATAAACAGCTTGCCAGAGAAATACACATACCCAGATGTGCATACACGTAGACACGGTGGAAATATACAGAAAATAGCTAGATACGGTCTACAAATACTCACAATGCATTTGGGCAAAACATTAAACACTTAAATGAAAAGGTGCGGTACTTACGAGGTCTTGCTTTTGGCTGAAAAAAAAATATATACATATTTATTTATTATTTTACTATTATCATCATCATCATCATCATCATCATCACTATTAATATTATGATTCATTATTGTTATTATTATTATGATTCATTGCTGTTATTATTATTATTGTTATTATTTTATATTATTATTATTGATATTATTATCATCATCATCTATATCATCATTAACATTATCAATCATCATCATCATCATCATTATTATTATTATCATTACTATTATTATTTTTATTATTATTATCTAACATTATCATTATTTTTAATAATATTACAGTTATTATTCAAGATCAAGATTATTTAATGTCCAAAAACGTAAATTCTGTTCTAATAAATACAAATACAAAAATAATATACGTAACAAACATCCAATATATAACAAAAAAGAAGCAACAAAGGTAACCAATTTAAAATAATGGAGAAATGATATGGCCTATGAAAACCCAGTTAATAAATACATTACCATTCAATATACTAATAGTAATGTATTAATTCAATTTAATGCAATCAGCAATGGCCCACCATGAGCCAATATCCCCTAAAACAATAAGACATTAGGTAAATACATTTTCATGGCTAACTATGCATTCGAGTGTTGGAACGTCCGGGGGAACATTACTCCGCAATATAAGTTACTGCGGGATATTAAAACAATCGGCGAGTAATGGGTTATTACGCCCTTTTATTGAAGAGGGTTCACATTTTTAAGAGATTACTAAAACATTAGGCCTAAACTTCAAAAAAGGAAAACCCAAATTTAAGAGTAACACGATAAACTAAAGAAGAAACTATTAATATAGCTATGTATTTCTAAGGTTCACTACCGTAATCATTATTGAAAAACAGATTCACTAGCCATAGTAAAATAAAGGGTTCATTAATCAAGACAAAGGTTCGCCGGTCATAATAAAAGAGGTTCTCAATTTATTATGAATGATTAAAGAGTAAACCTCGTTTATGAGTAAAGATTTTTTTTTTCTACACTGTCAAATTTCATCAAAAAAGCGTAACAAGGGCCTAATATGTGATGGAACATAGATTTGAACATGTTCAATGTGGAAACAATTTACTTTTCATTGATAAACATAAAATATTGTTAAATCTCAGTTAATTTTTGAATACACACTGTGTTATCAATTGGTGCATTTATTCTTAAAAGGGGTGTTTTTCTTCATTTTACTTCCAAAGTATTACCAATTAGTGGTCTGTATTAGAGGTCATTTTGCAAATTCAACCTTTAAAAGGTGCTCAATTAACTACATTTTACTTTTTATTTCCCAACCAATTTATTTGTTGGATATAACGCCTATCGGCATAAAATGATGCAACGCATTAATTTCGGGAGTGTAGGCCTAGGCCTATTGGATCCGGCTTGCTTTTCTTTATAATTTGAAGCGCTTTGGCTTGCATGTGCTGTTTTTTTTTTGTTTTTTTTGTTTTTTTTTTTTTTTTTTATCACATTTTACTACACAAAACCCTATGTCTGGGTTAATATTAGTTTTAAAAGAAGTAGTAAATAATAAAAGAAACTTCGGCTAGCCTATCCACTGTGGACGAAGCTATTACGACAGTTCAGGTTACTGTATATTAATATTATTATGAATTAGGCCTAGGCTAAACTATCTTTTCCAGAAGAAGTGGCCTGACAGGCTGATGATGATATGATGATGATGATGATGATGAAGAGGCCTACAAAAATGGGTAGGCCTAGTGCCATAATTGCTACCTTTATATATTGTTGTGCCCCTTTGAGTCGACTGAGGGAAGGGTTAGCCGCTCTAGCCTAGCCTAGACCCCATACATAACTAACTATAGGCCTAGCTAGGCCTAGGCCTAGCCTGCTATTTCCGGGCATTTAGAGAGAGGTGCCAAAAAAGTTTTTCACAAACCATGGTCGGGGCTGGATAAATATGCACTCAGACACCACTAGCTTTAAATCCTGTATTATCCTTTGGGTGCCGTGGGGGTAGGGGTGCTTAACCCTATAGCTACAGCCACATTTGTTTAGGCCTAGGCCCTAGGTCTAAGTCTAGGGTCCTAGCCTAGCGTTACTCAGATTACTCAGGTGGTCACTCTAGCTACACTTACTGAGGCCTTTAAAGCAAATTAAAATATCACTTCATAGACAAATAACTGCAATAATAAACTAGACCTACTTTTTTTCGACGCTCCGCAACCCATTGTTGCAATGTGTCTTCCTCAACTTTTTCAGAAACTGTGAAAACTAAACCTCAGTTTTTACAAAGGGTTTCTTTCAACATTGCTCTGTGTTAATAGTCGTGGGACTAGTTTTGGCCCTACCTAAGCTGGTCGTACGTTTCGTTTGGGTCTGTACCCTAGCTGCACTGATGAGGCCTAGAAGGCCGAAACGGATCCATCTGCAGATATTGGGATTTCTTCCAGTGGATGCTTAGTTTATTTTGTCATTCTGATCGGATTTTCTCTACTGTTCCGTTTTAATTTTAATTTTAAATTGTTTTGCATTAAATATGGCCGTTTGCTGTTTTATGGGTTTTCCCATTTGCCTTTCAAACGAACAGGTCCATGAAATAACAACTTCCCTTGTAACTCGGAGATTATTTTGGCGCGTTAGATCAACTCTAACTTAATTAATTAAAAACAGCTTTGTAGAGGATGTGTATGTCAGACTCAATGTACGACGCAACCAGACGGGATTTGTCGTTGGGGACAGTCTTTAGGCCGTCGTAAGAATTAAACGTGACTCAAGCTTGGTTTCCATACAACAATCGCTACACGCTATCGTCGATAGCTTTCGCTGATAATAAATGTTTTGTTGAATTGAATTGAATTGATTAGTCGGTCGAATCGGGGAGCTTTCCGATTGCGCCGGAACCTCTACGCAGTGCAGCGATTGCACTGAAAACTCTGCGACAGTGTGTAGCGATTTTAAGGAAACCAGGCTTTATCCGTCCCCATCTGCTTTTAAAGCCTCTGCTGGCCGACCAATCAGCATCACTTAAGTCTGTAGGCGATAGCGTGTGTCGATTGCTGGAAATCCAGCTTTTTTATACCTGATTTCCATAAATCATCGCTACACGTTAATCGCTGACTCCTTTGCAGGGAGCGGTCCCGATTACGTCGAGAGCTACCGTACACAATGCAAGGATTGCAGTGAAAACGCTGTAGTTCCTGATTCAATTAGGCCTATATGGAAAACGGACTGAAAGCCGCAACTCACGTCCCGTCAGGAGATTATTATGGTTGAGCCCGATAAGTAGATACATAGACCACACATCGCTGACATAGAATAGAATTGATAATATAATGATTTGAAAAGTTTTATCATAACTCAATTTTCCCCAATATTACCTGTAATTTAAAATATGCATAGAGATTGTGGAAGGAGTAGGCCTAATAAATAGCAATGGCAATATACTTATAAAGCGCTAATAAACCCCAAGTGCACAAAAAAAAAAAAAAAAAAAAAAGAAATATAAAGTTTATACCAAGATAGCAGTATTTATCTACAGTATCGATCTACAACCTTTCTGCCACTCTTGCTAGTCTTAGGATTGTTAATTTTATCGTCAATTTCAGTTTATCACAATTAACATAATTAAGGAGTTTTTCAGTCCAACATGTGTCTCTGACATAATCACAAGTTCATACGCAGATACGAACCATTACTGCTAACCGGGTCCATGCAACATTGAATACTGGTAAATCATGTAAGAAATTTTTTTATAAAAGTAGACTTAAATTGCTTGTTTAACTCCCACAGAACGTATCTGTCAGCTTATTATTACATTTTATGGAAAAGTAGACATTTGATTTAAAAGAACTTTTTACCGATTTTATATAATTTGAGAACTGATTTAGCATCAGCTACATAATATCCTACTTTAAAATTACGAATTTCGTGTGCGTTCGTTACGTAGACGCTCAAAACTTTGTGATGACGTGAAAACTGAATAAACATTGCTCACTGTAAATCATTTCTAAGATTCCATCGAACACTTCGGCTATTTCAACAATATTAATAATAGTTATCTTCTGTTTCCCTAAAGCTAAATTTAATTTTAATCTTAACGTCACTAGAAATTGAATATTCTCATATTCAAAGAACCACAACATTAGTTAGACCAGGGGCCTCCTACATTTTATAAACTTTTAAAATGGAGAAAGGAAGAAAATTATATTCTGA